ATCCGCTGCGGGAACACGCTTCGACTCAATTGAAGACATCAAATCAAATTCGACGCGAGAGTTGAACGCCATTCCAGAAAGTGCCTATAACAAAATGTTTTGACGATTGGGAGAAGGATTGACCATATCCAAATTGATGCTATTTTGAAGACAATAAAATAAACTTGAATGATGATTGAAAAATTTTCGTTTTATTTATAAATTCCTGACACTTTCTTGACAGAATGTACCTATTAAAAGATTTAAAGTCAACCGGATGTTTGAAAATCCATACAAGGTGCGTTCCAAAGTAAACAGGACTTTTTGAATCTAGTGCCCCCTGGTAGCGCCATTCATGACACTTCATTGATTGGAAGTGAAGTTATTGCGTTTTAAGTGTCAATATGTTTGTGTTATCGGTGTGAAAATGAGCTTCGAACAAAGAGCCAACATTAAATTATGTTTTAAAATTGGTAAAACTTTTACCGAAACGTTTCAATTGATGAAACAAGTTTATGGCGATGATTGCCTATCTCGTAGTAGAGTGCAAAAGTGGTTTCAACGTTTTCAAAGTGATCATGAGGACATAAATGATGACCAACATTGTGGAAAATCAACAGGAATCCTCATTGAAATTCACGGAAATGGAATTGAACGTCTCCAAAATATCGATTTATCACATTTTGATCGAACATTTGTTCGAAAGATGTGCGCACGGTTTGTTCCGCACAAATTGACTAACGAGTAAAAATTACTCAGAATCCAAGATTCGAAGGATATCATTAAAGAGGTCAAAACTCACCATTAACCACTCCACGTATTAACTTGATATAGCACCGTACGACTTTTCGGAAAAATGCATTTCATAATGAAAGGAATGCATTGTGCAGACGTAGAGGCCATTCAAAAGGCTTGCACGGGCATACTGGCGGCCATACGGGCCAATGAGCTAAAACACTCGTTCGACATTCTTTTGGACCGTGCAAAAATCTGTATTGAAGCAGAAGAAGACTATATTGAATAAAATAAATTGGTTTTGCCAAAAAAAAAAAAAAAAGCATTTGTTCTTTGTTTTTTATTAAGTCCGTCCTGTTTACTTTTAAACGCACCTTGCATATACGTATTATGTAGAGTGTGATCCATTTCAAGGTTTCCTAATTTTTAAAAGAAAAAGTACAAAAATAATCTTCATAAACTTTAGATTTTACATATTCCCACAGGAAAGAGGCAACGGTTGGATCTCACATGATCTTGGTGGTCAATCGACCGGCCAAAAATGTGAAATGGTCTAATCCCCGAAGTGTTCTTTAATTTCAGGCATTGATGATTCCACCGGCCCACAAACCACACCATTGATTTTTCTGGGTGAAATGGCAGCTCGGGAAGCTCTTCAGGTTATTATTCGTCATAATGCTGCAATTTTGATCGTATACATACCCATTAAATCAGATAGGAGGGGCCTCATCGCTGAACAAAAACGTCAGATCTTATTGGAACTTTTGAGGAGCTCATAAAGCGAAGCAATGTCTCTTGGATAGACCGAGGGACTTCAGTTCTTGCTTTAAATTTAAGAAAGGCATCCCATACCTCAGCCCGAGTTGCTGCGAACGGGGCCAAATTGACTCTCCACGGTCTTCGTGTACACTCTCAGCTATGCCTGCTATCAGGGATAATGGGACTGCCCAGTGTGAGAGCGCCTCAAAATAAGCGTTTTTTTTTAACATTTTCTATTATGGCCAGATTGAACAATATAAACATTTTTAGGCATTTAAATTAAAACACCCAACATTTATTACGATTGAAATTATTATATATTGGACTTTTAATATATGGCGAAACTATTTAATTCCTTTTTATGATTTTATGGTATATTAAAACAACTGTTAGTTTTAAATTAATAAATGTTTTTAATCATTTGTAATAGAAAATTAATTCTATTATGCATCAAATTACAAAACATTTCATAATATATATTTAAATTTCGAATTTCCCTCATTTTCATTATTTTAAATTTTTATTAGCGATCTTGAACGGCGGCAATAAATTCGTCCGTTCACATAAATTTTTGGTATAATTTCAATCTGGCCGTTCCAGTCATTCCAATTGCAAAACGTCAAAACCTACTCAATCCAGTCAACTGTCAAAGTTCGGTAGGTTTTGACGTTTAGCAATTGCTCTCTCACTTCCAGTGAGAGAGGAGTTGGGCATCTCATTATCTGCCTGCTATATTTTCGTCACTGCGATGAGTAGGCTATTTATATTGACCATAAGTTGAGAGACTATTCGGTTAAATATTATCCGTTAATGATGGGTTCATAAGTTGAGCGAACCGCTCGAAACATATTCTTTACAGAACGTGAGTTTTCGTAATTAAGTTGAACGATTTGTAAACGTTGTTCAGGCGTAAGTCTTCCGCAGAATCTTTCTCTCGAAAACTCGTAACGTCGACTCATCAGATGTAGTCATCGTCCATGCCTCTGCACCATATAGCAGGACGGGAATAACGAGTGACTTATAAAGTTTGGTTTGTGTTCGTCGAGAGAATACTTTATTTCTCAATTGCTTACCTAGTCGGTAGTAGCACCTGGTGGCAAGAGTTATTCTGCGTTGAATCTCGAGGCTGACTTTTTTTTTATTGATGCCAATATTGGTTCCGAGATAGAGGAAACGACTTCAAATTTATAACTGCCACCAGAGACGTGGGAAACTAATCGCGAGTGCGACGACGTTTGTTTGATGACAGAAGATATTTCGTCTTTTCCTCGTTCATTACCAGACCCATTTACTTCGCTTACTTATCCAGAGAAAGCAGAACTAACGGTGCGATTGTTGAGACCAATGATATCAATATCGCCAGCGTACGTCAAAAGCTGTACACTCTTATAGAAGATTACACCTGCTCGATTAAGCTCTGCAGCTGAAATTATTTTATCCAGCAGTAGATTAAAGAAGTTGCACGATCTAAAACTTCGTTTGGTTTCGAACGGATCGAAGGGGTCCTCCCGGATTCTGACGGAGCTTTTGGTATTGGTCAACGTCGGTTTACACAGCCGTATTAGTTTTTCGTGGATACCCAATAAAGGCAGTTTCTTCTCGTGCTGTCAAAAGCAGCTTTAAGATCGACAGAGCACACTTAAATTCCAATCGTCGGACATGCTTTGGTCCGACCGTATTCTACAAAATATGCTCTTTAAATTTCAATAGTATGCGGAAGATTTTTCGATATTCCTCTCTGAGTTGTATTAAGATAACTCTCAATTGATCGGTTATTCGGTTCAAATCAAATCATATCAGTTTAGTGCGTTGCGACGGTTGCTTCAATTGAACTGAGTTTTGTAGTATCGATTCAAATCATACGAGATATTCTGGAGTTAAAATCTATGGACTTTGAATATGAGCACCTGTTGGAATCGAAATTTCAATGCGTACGTACATAATGTCTTTGTATAACAATACATCAGTAAATCAGTGTATTGTATATAAGATACAACCCGAACATTGTCGAATATTTTAATCATATAAATATGAATATGATTCACAAGCAAATCATGTATAACCTAATCGCTACTGATTAATATTTGCTCATGTTTTTTTTACTCTTTTTAAAATATTTATTAATGTCATGTTTCCTTATTGAATTATTGAATCCTCTCATAAATGCATCTACCTGAGTCATGCATTTTGAAATTTGTTGGGGATTGTGGCATCGTAATGGTGTGTCGTGGTAATTGAAAGAAATATTTTAATAAAATTTAATTGTGAGAGTGTGATATAATATCATTGAATACATATCGTCAACTCAAATGCAAAATTGAGTGTTTTATTGATTACGACCCATTACTTCAAATTACATACATACAAGTACATATTCCCAACATTTTATCTCGCTATCAGATATAATCCAGTTTTATTTAACCAATATTTAAATATTGTTTCACTCATGTTCCGTTTTATATCGCATTTCATTCCACAACTCATTTTTTAAGTAAAGTGAAAAAAAGCAATGCTAATAAGCAATTAAGTTAAAATTATTCATATGCATTCCTTCTTTATATCCGTAAGTTCAGAATGCAAAAACAAAAATATATATTATATTTTCAGTTTTGTTTAACGTTATTTTAGTGAGAGTCTGCGCTTTATTTACTTGAATTGAAAATGCCTACTTTTCGTGAATATGTTTCTTCTTTTTGCGTGGATTCTATTGTGTTTTAATATAATTAATCGTTCCCAGACCTTGTCACGCGTTTTAATATTATTTCTAAAAAAATTTATACATAAAGGAAAGAAATTAGTCTGGCGGAAAGGAAAAAAATTATTAAATTGTGGAGAGATGCCGAAAATTTCAGAAAAAATGGGCATTAGAAAAACATACTCATCCGTCCAGCGCGTAGTAAACAATTTTAATAAAACCGAAATTTTAACATTAAAACCGCGACGAACCGTTCAAAAATATTATCAGTCAGGAAGAATAACAATATAATATACTCTATGGAAATATATAGTAATATTTCGGATGAAAGTAAATATAGAATTTTCGACTTGAATTTATTGAGTCAACAAGGGATTAATGGGGATATTTGAACATTTTAGAATATAATTTGAAACAAGGTGCAGTGAATCTTATTATTATTTATCTTCGACTATTCGCTGACAAGAATCAGCATCCAATAACAAGTAAGGTGGCTTTACGCATTGCAGTACAGACTGAATGGTCCCGGATTACAGTTGAGGAAACATAGGTTGATAAGATTAATGCCAAATCGATTGAGAGTGGTTTTAAAACAATGCGGCTATCCAACAAACTACTGAATTTAATTTTCCTTTATCATTTTCAATGTTTTTGTTCCTCATTTTAAAACTGAACGCATTCTTTGTATTGCTGGAAAAAAATTTTAATTGAATTATCAGTTAACACTGTGTTTTTACTTCATTTAAAAATGTGTCGCGTGGACGAAGACTTTATTGGCTATATATATATGTATACATACGTATATAATGTTAAATTATAATATCTTTTGCAGAAGCGGATAAAAAGTCGGATTGCCTTTTGCCAAATATAAAGCGAAATATATGTTCATACAATACTATAATGAACCGAAATTTACCACAGTAAGTAGTCATATTTGTAACTAACTTATCGGAATGTCTGCACGCACTTGTTTAACATATATTTACTTAGAAAACAAGTACATAAAAAATGGAATGCGTAATTTTATACATATCTTTCTTACTATACCATATAATATCACAACATTTTACATATCATATTACCAATATTCCACTTGATTGTAAAATATCATACAGTATTTATTGTAGTTGCATTTAACCTCTGTAATACCGATTAAAAATTCGATGTAAGGGGCCAATTCCATTTAAAATAATAATAATATATTCATGTTTATATATATAAATATGTGAATGTTTTAACATCATGTTAATTGTTCGTATATATAATAGATATTAGATATTTTTACTTTTTACATACATATATTTTTGTTATTCTAAAAATATTTACCTGTTTTGTGTGTTTGGTTAACACCTTCACTGTGTAGTATTGATGGTAAATTTTGTGTATCTCTTCGCAACGTTAACTAGTACTTGTGTTATAACTTTGTGTTTGTTCAAATATTTTACTTCGGGGGAAAAATATTTCTCTTTTCCTTCTGTTTTGTATGTAATGTTAAGCGAAGTCGGGGATTGATATTTCTCTGCCCTAAGTCTCTATTACTTTATGTAGTTTTTGGTAGAAACATTTGTTTTATATTCAATAAAACACCTAAATCATTGAAAAAAAAGTGATGCGAATTATCTCAAGAATAAAAACTACCAATTACTAAATTTTTAAGCCAAAGAAAAAATTATTTTCAACCTGGGATATGAATGTCTCATTCTACATGCGTACAAACTTTGTTAAATCAGATGTTATAGTTAGTAAACACTGTTTTCGATTGCTCAGGAGCAAAACTTGCACAAAAAACCTTTTGGAACCATTTAAATAAGTGATTACTCGTGGTACATGGATAAAAATGCGCCAAGTTTTCCAACGTAGCCGACTGTTTCCATTAAGTGTTTTCATTAAATTGCTTTCAAAGTGCCATCTAACATAACGGTGTATGTTTGATTTAAGGGGGTAATCTAGTCTAGAAATAAAATTTTTGGCAGTTTTTTGAATTTTATTTAAAAAAAAAAAGAGACGGGTGTAAAAAGAAATGGCACATCCTGGTGACATTGATCCTGACTCGCCTGGTGGTCTGAAAAAAAAATCAAACGAAACTGCCTGAAAATAAAAATAATTTTTAACGCTTTTTTTGTTTGAAATTCCTGAATTTTTTTAAAATATTACAAAAAAAGAAAAAAAAAACTGAGACGGTGCTGGTAGGAACGATAAAGGATTATATAAAGAAGCTTCACACAAAATTTCAAGTAAATCGGTTGTATAGAACTTGACATAAGTAGTATTCTTCTTCTTGAATGGCGTAGTCACCGCGATTATAGCCGAATTAACAACCGCGCGCCAGTCGTTTTTTCTTTTCGCACCGTTGCGCCAATTAGATATCACAAGTGAAGCCAGGTTCTTCTCCACTTGGTCCTTCCAACGGAGTGGAGGTCTTCCTCTTCCTCTGCTTCCCCCGGCGGGTACTGCGTCGAATAAAATCTTTCGCAGAACTTTTCTCTCGAAACTCCCAATGTCGACTCATCCGTTGTTGACATTGTACAAGCCTCTGCACCATATAGCAGGACGGGAATTACGAGTGACTCATAGAGTTTGGTTTTTCTTCGTCGAGAGAGGACTTTGCTTCTCAATTGCCTACTCAGTCCGAAGTAGCACCGGTTGGCAAGAGTTACCCAGCGTTGGATTTCTAGGCTGACATTGTTGGTGGTTTTTACGCTGCTTCCAAGATAGACGAAATTATCTACAACTTCAAAGCTATGACTATCAACAGTGACGAGAGTGCCAAGTCGCGAGTGCGACGACTGTTTGTTTGATGACAGGAGATATTTCGTCTTGCCCTCGTTAACTGCCAGACCCATTTGTGTTGCTTCCTTGTAAAGTCTGGAGAAAGCAGAACTAACGGCGCTGGCATACGCCAGCAGCTGAACATTCTTATAGCAGGTACCATCCTTCTCTATTTAGTTCTGCAGCTCGAACTATTTTCTCCAGAAGCAGGTTGAAAAAGTCGCACGATAAGGAATCGCCTTGTCTGAAACCTCGTTTGGTGCTGGTCAACGTCAGCTTACACAGTCGTATAAGTTTTGCAGGGATACCAAATTCAGACATCGCTTCATAAAGGCAGCTCCTTTTCGTGCTGTGGAAAGCAGCTTTGAAATCAACGAAGAGGTGGTGAGTGTCGATTCTACTTTCACGGGTCTTTCCCAAGATTTGGCGCATGGTGAATATCTGGTCGGTTGTTGATTTTCCAGTTCTGAAGCCACACTGATAAGGTCCAATCAATTTGTTGACGGTGGGCTTTAATCTTTCACACAATACGCTCGATAGAACCTTATATGCGATATTAAGGAGGCTTATCCCACGGTAGTTGGGGCAGATTGTGGGGTCCCCTTTTTTGAGGATTGGGCATAGCACACTTAAATTCCAATCGTTGAGCATGCTTTCATCCGACCATATTTTACAAAGAAGGTGATGCATGCTCCTTATCAGTTCTTCGCCGCCGTGTTTGAATAGCTCGGGCGGCAATCCATCGGCCCCGCCGCTTTGTTGTTCTTTAGGCGGGTAATTGCTATTCGAACTTCTTCCTGGTCGGGCAATGGAACGCCTGCTCCATCGTCATCGATTGGGGAATCGGGTTCGCTTTCTCCTGGCGTTGTGCGTTCACTGCCATTCAGCAGGCTGGAGAAGTGTTCCCTCCATAATTTGAGTATGCTCTGGGCATCGGTGACTAGATCACCTTTGGGGGTTCTACAAGCGCTTTACCCTGTCGGCCAGCTTATCAAGCTCTTCGTACTCACGCATATCGGCCTCTTTCTTTTTCTGTCTGCAAATGCGTCTCGCTTCCCTCTTCAACTCTCGGTATCTATCCCATCCCGCACATGTTGTGGTCGATCGTAATGTAACTCGAACTATTAAAATTGAAATTTTATATGGTCATCATGTGTCCTAAGTTATATGTCATAACTATATCTTTTAATAGTTTGCTAATAGATATGAGTTCAAAATCGGGAAATATCTTCTTAATATTGAATTCTGAATTTATTCATGAATAAGTCACATAAACTGTGTGCCCGCTTTCTTTCAGTTTTAACTTTTAACTATATTTTTCGTCTTTTCCCTTATGACCAAAAATTGTATAAAGGGAACCAAAACTGTGCAATCCCCTAGGTACCGAATATGTGAACCCCAGAGTCTGTAGTTAATTATCGGTGAATGAGTGAGATATATAATTGAAATTCAGAGAAAATCGTGCTGCGTGCTAGAAATGAGTTGAGACGGTTAATACTTCCCTTATAAATATTTTCGTACTTTCAGGTGAATTTATATATAGTGGATATATCGGCCAATATGTGAGTTATCTCTATAAAATTGAGATATCGTGTTTTTATAATAACTGTGCTTTTTTGAGCTTATAATGAATAAAATCGAGTGAAAAATCGCTCTAGACCCCATATAACTAACAAGCCTTACGTGCCTGGAAGTACTAGCCCAGCTTTAATCCTTGTATGCTGCAAGAGTATGAAATGGTCGGTAATACCCGATCTTTCTTACTTGTTTCATATATGTTTTTTATACTGAACTAGTGCTCTAAACTCTGCAGATACGTGAATAAAGTTATGGTGCGGAAATTCATTCCTTATTTGGGCAAAGTTGCTCCATAATTAAATKTGTAAAACCCTGAAGCCTATCATATAGCTGAAGTTGTAATAGTCGTACTACAAGGTGCGTTCCAAAGTAAACAGGATTTTGAATCTAGCGCCTCCGGTGGCGCCATCTATATGTCGATTTCTGCATTAGAATTCGCTATCTTTATCGATTGTCCAGTGAGATTTCATGATATTTCATTGATTGGAAGTGAAGTTACTGCGTTTTAAGTCTCAGTATGTTTTTGTAGTCGGTGAGAAAATGATCTTCGAAAAAAAAAACCAACATTAAATTTTGTTTCAAAATTGGTAAAACTTTTACCCAAACGTTTCAATTGATGAAACAAGTTTATGGCGATGATTGCCTATCCCGTAGTAGAATGCACGAGTGGTTTCAACGTTTTCAAACTGGTCGTGAGGACATTAATGACGATCAACATGTGGACCAATCAAAATCCGAAATCACCGGAAATTCCATCGAAACTGTGCGTGAATTCATCAAGAATCAACCGGAATCATCATAGAAAGTCACGGAATTGAACATTTGGGCTTACGAAAGGTGTGTGCACTTTTTGTTCCGCACAAGTTGGCTGATAACCAAAAACACCGTCTCAACGATCGACGCTTGTGACCGATTCTTATACCAAAAATCACATTTTGACCATTAACCACTTCCCGTATTCACCTGATATGGCACCATGCCACTTCTTTATTTTCGGAAAAATGCATTTAACCATGAAAGGAAAGCGTTATGCAGACGTAGCGGCCATTCAAAAGGCATACTGGGGGCCATACCGGCCAACGACTTAAACCACTCGTTCGACGTGCTTTTGGACATTGCAAAAAGGTGTATTGAAGCAGAAGGAGACTATTTTGAATAAAATAAGTTAGAGTTGAGCACTCCTTGTATGTTTTGTACAAAGTCGCATAAGAAGGCCTATTCGATAAGTATTRGTGACTTAATATTTTTACGAACCGTACAAACTGGTTATTCGAATAATCAGGTTTCAGGTTAATAATTTTAAGAGTCCTAGTTTACATATATATATCTGGGGGTATGAATATCTCTATTCCGMTTTTGACAATTTTTGGTCTTCAGGTGGCGCATCTGAAAGGCTGTACTCATTCATTATTTTATCCCAATACATTCTGTTTGATTTCTTTTCTAAAAATATTTCGACTAATTTTGCAAGATGCTTCATTCCATAGGGGAAATGATCCACACGTGGAACTCGGCTTCTAAGGCCTGAGCATGTTTTTATTATAAGCCATATATTAAGCCATAGTGCTGAAGA